AGCAGCAAGGAGCGTCAGCTGCAGAAAGTAGCAGCACTTAGCAGGAGAAGCAGAGCATGCAGCAGTGGCAGCAGCAGCAGAGCATGTAGCAGTGGTAGCAGCAGCAGCGCATGCAGCAGTGGCAGCAGCACGCTGAGCAGCATCAGCAAGGGCTGTAGTGGTAGCAGCAAGGGCTGTGGCGGCAGCAGCAAGGACTGTAGCGGCAGCAGCAAGGGCTGTAGCGGCAGCAGCAAGGGCTGTAGCGGCAGCAGCAAGGGCTGTAGCTGCACCAGCAGGGCTGTAGCAGCAGCAGCAAGGGCTGTAGCTGCAGCAGCAGGGCTGTAGCTGCAGTAGAAGGGGCTGGGGCGGCAGCAGCAGGGGCTGTAGCGGCAGCAGCAAGGGCTGTAGTGGCAGCAGCAAGGGCTGTAGCAGCAGCAGCAAGGGCTGTAGCTGCAGCAGCAGGGCTGTAGCTGCAGTAGAAGGGGCTGGGGCGGCAGCAGCAGGGGCTGTAGCGGCAGCAGCAAGGGCTGTAGCAGCAGCAGAAAGGGCTGTAGCAGCAGCAGCAAGGGCTGTAGCTGCACCAGCAGGGCTGTAGCTGCAGTAACAGGGGCTGGAGCGGCAGCAGCAGGGGATGTAGCGGCAGCAGCAAGGGCTGTAGTGGCAGCAGCAAGGGCTGTAGCTGCACCAGCAGGGCTGTAGCTGCAGTAGAAGGGGCTGGGGCGGCAGCAGCAGGGGCTGTAGTTGCAGCAGCAAGGGCTGTAGTTGCACCAGTAGGGCTGTAGCTGCAGTAACAGGGGCTGGAGCGGCAGCAGCAGTGGCGCGATTCGAGTAGGAAAAACGGCCTGCCTAGGGGCGCGATTCAGGCAGGAAAAACGGCCAGCCTAGGGGCGCGATTTGGGCAGGAAAAACGGCCTGCCTAGGGGCGCGATTCGGGTAGGAAAAACGGCCTGCCTAGGGGCGCGATTCGGGCAGGAAAAACGGCCTGCCTAGGGGCGCGATTCGGGTAGGAAAAACGGCCTGCATAGGGGCGCGATTTGGGCAGGAAAAACGGCCAGCCTAGGGGCGCGATTCGGGCAGGAAAAACGGCCAGCCTAGGGGCGCGATTCGGACAGGAAAAACGGCCTGCCTAGGGGCGCGATTTGGGCAGGAAAAACGGCCTGCCTAGGGGCGCGATTCGGGTAGGAAAAACGGGCAGAACGGAACTAACAGTAGGCCCTAAACGAGTGGTCCTACAGATGGACCTGCTCTGAAACCATATCGAGAGAATTGTGCAGGAATGATTGGATTAACAAGAGTTGGGGTACAAGTACTAACCCTAGAAGTGCTGTACCCCATAAGGAGTGCCCCAGTATAGCCTACAAGTAAGATTGTACTTTGACACAGCTCACTCTGCTGTTACATCCACATGAACAGAAACTTGTATCAGCACCAGACAAGGTAAGCCTTGCACTAGTAGCACTGACAGAGGTGTACGTTATGTTACAACTACATCTGAGACGACTGTTTGTGGGTTGGTCTCTGTTGATATTCATTTACGGTAGGATTGGACCAACATATGTCCAGTACAGTAGAACAAACAATCTTTATTGTGGAACACCTGTCAAAACTGTTGTACTGCTTACTTTGTATAGGCTGTAGTGGGGTAGCCCATAAAGGGTACAACCCAATTAGGGTTAGTACTTGTACCCAACTCTTTCATAGTTCATTCATTCTCGTTCTATAGTTTGACATTGTATCAGAGCGAAGGTCTCGGGTTCGAATCCCAGTGTGTGCACTTCGGGCATCCCACTACGGGGGGGTGTTAGAGGTCCACTAGTGATCCCCGATTGATCACCGCTGGAGGCTCTGCCACTGGACTGGAGGCACTGGAGCTGGCGGTGCTGGAGCTGCTAGTCTTGGAGGTGCTAGAGTTCCTACTGGAGCTGGAGGTACCGGAGGTGCTGGAGCTGCTGGTCCTGGAGGTGCTCGTACTAGAGGTACTGGAGCTGCCGGGGCTGGTGGTGTTGGAGGCGCTGGAGCTGGAGGAGCAGGAGCTGGAGACCCTGGCGCTGGAGGCGCTGGGACTGGAGGCACTGGCGCTGGCGGCGCTGGGGCTGGAGGAGCTGGAGCTGGAGACCCTTGAGCTGGAGGTACTGGTGCTGGAGGCACTGTGCAGCGGCGACCGTTTTTCGTTCCGTCGCCACCATCGTCTCTGCCGCCACCTGACTCGGTCCTTCGCCAGGTTCTTAGTTTCCCCTCTTCTACTGGCCTTCCTCCTAGCTTACTGAGTCCACCGCCTCGTCAGTCGCAGCCACAGTTACAACCAAACTCCCCACTGCCTACTCCTTCTCCTTACGCTGAGCAGACAGATTCTTTTACAGAGCGTCGTGAGCCTGAGACTCGTCCTGCCTCACCTGTTCGCGCTGTTCGCACTAGTCGTCGTGTTCCTCGTCCGCGTCCTCCTCCTGTCCCCGGCACTCACGTTATGGCACTTCGTCCTTCCTCTGTTCCACTGCGTGTTCCCCTGCCGCCTCCTCCTGAGTCCTCTCTTCCTGCCGTTCCTGACCCTGAGTCTGACCTAGCTCGTGCTGCCAGTCCCACTGTCTCTCGTCTTCTAGCCACTGTTGACACTGGCCCTTCTTTTGAGTCCACTGCTACGTCTGCCCTAGTTGCTGAGCTTGTTGACTTTGCTGCCGCCTGTCGTCTCGACTACGCCACTAGTCTTGTTGCTGAGTCTGAGTCTAACTGACGTCCGTCCGTCGGGGGTGAGTGTGCTCTTGGCACAGACGTCCTTGAGGACAGGCAGGAGCAGGGCTCTCGTTATCAGTGTAATTTACACTGCTATACTGATTATAAGGGTGAAATTTAGGGCCTTCACTGATGGGTTTGGGTAATGTTTTGGGGGATTAGTGTTACACTAATATGTCAGTGTAACGATTTAGGCCACACTGATGCTCTGGGGTAATTTTTCCCTTAGCGAAGATTACCCTGAAGAGCGTACAGGGAACCCCCCCCCTCTCGAAACTCTACTTATCGAGACGAAGTTTCCTAGAAATTTCGTAACGATACACTCAATTTCGTAATGATGCACTACGACGCCAGCACGCGAGTACTGACAACCGACACAGCGTCACTCCATGTCTGCTTGCAACCTACTCTAGAGGCGATGCAACCTGATTGGTCAAATATGCACCCACTGCAAAAACTTTAACTTTCTCGACTCGGAAATTTGGGACTCGAGGTCCCCAAACCCACGTTCTCCCCGGGAAGCTTGCTGACTCGGCGAAAAAACAAGTGTTGCAGCGAAACCAGACAAGCCACTGCGCTCAACTTTTGAGTTCACAACCCCCACCCACCAGTGCCCAATTTGGGCCTCGAGCTTGGTTGCTGCCAGCATATACTGAGCTGCCTACATTACAATCAGGGTAAAAAATATCCCTATACTGATGCCTCTGGGTAAAGTTTTCAGAAGTTCAAGTTACACTGATCCATCAGTGTTTCCAAAAAGGGCACACTGCTTAGAAGGGTTTTGAAAATGTCTACACTGCTAATCGTGAGTAGCCAAAATCCAAAACTAAGCCCTGGGCAGGAGGACTTTGAGTGTCTTGCAGCCGCTATACCTCATATTGTGGCCATTTGCTTGTGCTCGGAATGTGTGGTGACTTCGTGATCCACCCTGAGCTTGCTTTGCTTTTATTGACTGGTCCTGCGTCCACTTGTTCTCCCCCATTTTGCCTATGGGGGTGTGTCAAAACTGTTGTACTGCTTACTTTGTGTAAACTATAGTGGAGTAACCCATAAGGGGTACAACCCAATTATGGTTAGTACTTGTACCCAACTCTTTCATAGTTCATTCATTCTAGTTCAATAATTTAACAACACCTACATTACAGCATTCAATGTACCATACTGATGGATTCTATACACACAACCCAACCCACAGCCAGATAACCCTGTGCTGCTGCTAATGGCAAAAGTTGTTCAAGTTAGACGCCCTACAGAAAACCAGCAAATCAAACGCACAATCGGTCACCACACGAGAGTCTGCATTGCTCGAGCAGCAGAAGCTCGGAAGGTGTGGGTTCATCAATGCCTAGTAGCCTTCACTGCACTACCCTCTCCGCCTCCACCTCTTCCCATCCCACCTCTTTCCACCTCTTCCCACCGTCCCAAATCCAAACCTTGTACGGTCTTCCTTCACCATCTTTCCACTTTCTTCCCACCCAACACTTTCATGTCCCAACTTCGTCCCCACCTCCTACAACCACTTCCCACCTCCACCAACTCTTCCCTCCCTCTTCCCACCCTCTCCCACCCTCACCAACCCTCTCCCAGCCTCTCCTAATTCACTACCGTGGAGGGTTCACGAGGTGAGCGAGGCGAGCCCACCTCCTCTTGCCTACAGTCCATTTAAAAGCCCATTCCCCCTTCTTTCCACCTCAAGCCTTCCCAACTTCCCCTCCTCCGGCCCTCCCCCCCCCCCCCCCCCCATTCCATTCACTCCTGTGGTGGGTTTACGAGGTGAGTGAGGTGAGCCCAGCTGGTAGCTACCCTTGCCTGCTTGCTTCCGCACCTCCCTGGCCGCCAGTCTCCCTTTCCTTCCCCGCCAGCGGCCCGGACTGGTCCAAATTCCCCCGTTGTGCAACACCCAACCTTGCTTGCTGCTCGCACCTCTCTGCCTGCCAGTCTCCCTTGCTTCCCCGCCAGTGGCCCAGCCTGGTCCAGGCACCCAGCCTTCCTTTCTTGCACTCGTCTCTGCCTGCCAGTCTCTTCTTCCTTCCCCGTCAGTGGCCCAGCCTGGTCCAGATTAATCCCCCATTGTGTAACACCCAGCCTTGCTTGCTTGCACTCGTCTCTGCCTGCCCGCCAGTCTCCCGTCTCTCCCATCCACCACACTCCCTTATGGCCCAGCTCGGATTTTACCCTTCAGGATAGCTCCCTTGTTTCCTTGCTTCCGTGCTTCCTTGCTTCCTTGAGTTCTGCTCTGCCTGCCACTCATCCCCCTTCCCTCCAGCGGCTTGCAGAGACACATGGTAGTGACCATGCGAGGTGCACTAGACTATGCTCCCCACTCTCCTTCCCCTTCCTCCCCCCCTCCCACTTTTCCACTCCCCTTTTTCTCCTTCCTTTCCTCCCAGTTGACACATTTAGACTTGCACGCACCCCTCTCTGCCTGCCAGCCATTCCTCCTTCCCCTCCAGTGGCTTGCAGACACACAAGGCAGTGACCATGCGAGGTGCGCCGGCCTAATTCCCTCCCTCCCCTTCCTCCCGCCCCTTCCACTCTTCCTCCTTGTGAACACATACAGCCTTGTTTGCTTGCTCGGACCCCACTCTGCCCGCCGGTCACCCCTCCTTCCCCTCCAGTGACCAAGTGAATTGTTGTGGCTGTCAGCTCCTTCCCCTCCAGTGGCTTGCAGAGAGACAAGGCAGTGACCATGCGAAGCATGCCAGCATAAGTTCCCGCCCTCCTCCCCCTCCCACCTCTTCCGCTCCTTCTCTCCCCCCTCGTGACGCACCCAGCTTTGCTTGCTTGCTCGCACCCCTCTCTGCTCGCCCAGCACTCCTTCCCCTCCAGTGGCCAAGTGGGCTGTTGTGTATGTTTTTTGAAAATTCTCAAAAAACATACGTGAGCTGCTGTGGCTGTCAGCTTCTGTGTCGGACTGTGGCTGGTTGCGCGGAGGAGGAGGAGGAGGAGGAGGAGGAGGAGGAGGAGGAGGAGGAGGAGGAGGAGGAGGAGGAGGAGGAGGAGGAGGAGGAGGAGGAGGAGGAGGAGGAGGAACCCTTGGACCACCTGCTAAGAACGGGGACATGAGGGGATGGGGGATGGGGGATGGGGGATGGGGGATGGAGGATGAGAGTGGAGAGGGGAGACTGTTACTTTCTGTGACGCACTGTGGCTGGTTGCGCAGATGAAGAGGAGGAGGAACCCTTGGACCACCTGAGATGAGGAGAAGGGCGAGGAGAAGAGAGAAGGGGGAAGGGTGGAATCAGGAAGACAGAGAGTAGTAGAGAAGGTGTGTTAAGCTCCACCAGAGAGAGGTGGAGCGGTGGTGGGTGGTAGAGAGAGATGGAGGAGAGGAGGTTGGTGCGAGGAGGAGGTTGGTGCGAGGAGGAGGTTGGTGCGAGGAGGAGGTTGGTGCGAGGAGGAGGTCGGTGCGAGGAGGAGGTTGGTGCGAGGAGGAGGTTGGTGCAATGAGGAGGGGAAGAAGAGAAGGACGCTGACCATGGGAAGAAAGTACATTGTTTCGGCGACGACTTTTGAGGAGCCTCAAAGGTGGACGCTGACCATGGAAAGAAAGTACATTGTTTCGGCGACTCAAAACCAGGCCACGGGCAAGTTTTGAGGCAACTTTTGAGGTGACTTTTGAGGGGGCTCAAGAGGAGGGGAAGAAGAAAGACGGACGCTGACCATGGGAAAGAAATCACATTGTTTAGGGGACGACTTTTGCGGAGCCTCAAAGGTGGACGCCGACCATGGGAAAAAAAATGTACCAGGCAGGCAACTCAAAACCAGGCCATGGGCAAGAAGTGAGGAGAGAGTCTCACACAGAAATTTGAGTCGACTAAAAAATCACCTGGGTTGCAGCGAGAAGCACCGTTGGTTGTTGTTATGTGAAGTGGATAGTTGGAAGATTGTAGAGTGAAGTGGATGGTTGGGAGATGGAGAGAAGGGGATGGAGAGGAACGAGACACGGTTTGGCAGGAGAGGATGGGTGGGAGGGAACAAGGAAAAATTAGAGGTGGGAGGGAGGAGGGAAGGAGACGTACCGAGGGGTGAGGCTGGATTTAGAGGAGAGGATGGCATGGGGGAGCGAGAGAAGACGGCAACGAGATGGGGAGGAAGAAAAGAGTTGAATTGGGAGCAGGAGAGACATACCTAGAAGTGAGGCGGGATTTGAGGGAGGAGAGGATGGCATGGGGCTGGCAGCCCCGAGGGAAAGGCGGAACGTGATCGTCCATAGAGCTGAGATGGAGAGTTGAAGGGAGGGAGAGGGAAAGGAGTGGGAGGGTGTAAAGAGAGTGAGGGGGGGTGCTTGCAAGAGGAGAGGATGGCGTGGGGCTGGCAGCCACGGGGTAAAGGTGGAATCCGGATGTCCGAGGAGCTGAGAGGGCGGATGGGGAGGGGAAGGAAAAGGAGAGGGAGGGTGAAAGTAGAGCGAGGGGGAGTGCTTGCAAGAGGAAAGGATGGTGTGGGGCTGGCAACCCCAGGGTAAAGGTGGAATCCGGATGTCCGAGGAGCTGAGAGGGCGGGTTTAAGGGAGGGTGGACTGAGAGGAAAGGGCGGGAAGGCTCGAGAGTAGAAGAGATGGAGATGTTGTGTGCAGTGCAAAGGAGATGATGTGTGTGCCGAATCTGTTTTTTGAGAATTCTCAATAAAAAGAGATGGAGATGTGTGTGCAGTGCAAAGGAGAGGACGGCATGCCGCCGGGGATCCCAGCCAGCGCAGCTTCGGATGCAAAAAAGAGGGCTGAGCAGCACACAATGAAAATCTCACGATTTCAACCAATCCCAAACAATTTCACGATTTTATTAGTTAGCATCACAATCCAGCAGCAGCAGCGGCGGCGGCGGCGGCGGCGGCGGCGGCAGCAGCAGCAGCAGCAGCAGCAGCAGGAGGAGTAGCTGCAGGAGCAGCAGCAAGTCTAGAAGGAGCATCACAACACCATCATCTGCTGTCACATACCTGGAAGGAAGCAGCAGCATCCGCCAGGTTATTCCCCTTGCCCAGCAGCTGTGCCTGCAGCAACGCCACCACCACTAGTAGCAGCAGAAGCAGCAGTAGCAAATATAAACAGCATCAACTGCCTCATACCTGGAAGAAGCAGGGGCTGTAGCAGCAGGGGCTGTAGCAGCACCCGTAGCAAGGGCCGCAACAGGCGCTTCCACAGCAAAAGGAGGTGGAGCAGGGGTCGTAGCAGAGGTTGTAGCAGTGGCAGTGGCAGTGGAAGCACCAGGGGTTGTAGCAGGGGCTGTGGCAGCGGTTGTAGCAGGGGCTGTGGCAGCGGTTGTAGCAGCTTCTTCACCAATAAAAGGAGGTGGACCCATATCCATGCTCCCAATCGCAGTGCCACCACCTGCACCAACATCAGGGGCTGTAGCAGCCGGGGCTGTAGCAGCCTCTTCCCCGATAAAAGGGGGTGGACTTGTAACCATGCTCCCAATAGCGGCGCCACCACCACCACCACATACGTCAGCGGTTGTAGCAGCAGCGGTTGTAGCAGCAGCGGTTGTAGCAGCAGCGGTTGCAGCATCTGCTTCCCCGATAAAAGGAGGTGCCAACCCAGCAGCAGGGCCAGCACCAAAGATGGCACTGCCGTGACATGCGGTGTCAGTTGCAGAAGCATTAGCTGTAGCAGCAGCAGCTATAGCAGCATCGGCTGTAATAGCTGCTTCCCCAATAAAAGGAGGTGCCAATCCAGCTGACCTCACGCTTTGAACACCCACTCCTGTCACGATTGCACCAAGCCCCGCCCCCTGAAACCTCCCCCCAGCCGTTCCTTGCTGCTCCGAACCTGCCAGCACCAGCTTCAGCCCTTCCTGCCCTTCATTGCCGAACCTAGAGGAGGAGGCTTGGGAAGTTGATCCGTGGCTAGATGAGGAGTGGAGATTAGAGCCGAGCCTGCCATCCGATGCAGCAGGGAGAACGGCAGCAGCACTGCCACCACTGGCGACAGCCGCACTTGTAGCATCAGCAGAGTTTGTAGCACCATCAGCATCTGTAGCAGCAGCAACACCTGTCCCATCAGCAGCGTTTGTAGAACCATCAGCATCTGTAGCATCTGAAGCTTCCCCGTGCTGCTGCTCCTGCTCAGCCTGCTGCTGCTGCTGCTGCTGCCGATGCTGCTCCAGCAGCAGTCGCTGCTGCTCCTGCTGCTGCCTGGCCAGCAGGCAAGAGAGAGACGCACTCATAGGAGTCAAGGCAGCAACAACAGACGGGCTTTCTGATAGGGAGGAGGCCGTATGACCTACAGATGCTGCTGCTGCTGTTGCAGTGGAAGGGTGAGAAGGAGGAAGAGTGGGAGGAGGAGGAAGAGTGTGAGGAGGAGTAGATGCCAGGATAGACTCTGTATAAAGGACCCCGCTTCTGTTTTGAGGAGGGGTTTCTCCTGTCTCAGAGCCAGAAGAATTCATGGGGAGCACTCCATTCCAGCTAACAGTAGCTCCTAGAGGGGTATCCAAGGGGAGAGCACCTGCTGACAGGCTGCAGCCTCTGTTGTTTTCTCCTGAGGAAGAGGTCTCAGGTGGGTAGAAGGAGAGGGCGGAGGGCGGGCGTGGGCGCAAGGAGGGCGAGAGGGAGAAGATGGGCGGGGAGCATGCTGCCTCTGCTGCGAGGACTGAAGGGTCGGCACGATAACATGGGATAGGGGGAGAGGTGAAGGGACAGGCGGTAGGAGTAGCAGAGGTAGTAGCAGCAGCAGCAGCAGAAGATGCAGGATTAGCAAGGGTACCAGCAGAGAGAGCAGCAGAGGTGGCATCAGAGGGTGTGGCAGCAGCAGCAGTGACAGCAAGAGAAGTTGCAATGGATGGTGATGAGGCTGATGGGGCGGATGCAGAGGCGGATGGGGAGGAAGAAGCGGCGAGTGCTGCTGAAAGAGAGGCAGAGGAGGAGGAGGAAGAAAAAGAGGTGGTAGTGGTGGTGGTGGGGATAGTAGAGGAGGAGGAAGGGGAGGCGGAGCGCGAGGAGCGGTGTCTGTGAGGGCTGAAGGAGAGAGCGAAGGAGCGGGGGGAGGAGCCGGAGAGACCACGAGAGGAAGAGGAGGAGGTGGAGGTGGCGTGGCGGAGGGAGGAGAGGAGGGAGGAGGGCAGCCAGCGATCTACAGGCGAGCCTGATGTTACGGTGGACTGCGAGGGGTTAAGGCGGGTGGGGGGGGAAGGGGGCAGAAGTGGAGGGGACAGGGAGAGGGAACATGTATGTGGCGGTACGAGACAGGAGGGCAGCCAACGACCTACAGGCGAGCCCGATGTGACTGTGGCCTGGAAGGGGGTTTAAAGGGGTGTGGGGTTAGGGGATAGGAAGGGGGTGGAAGCGGGAGGAAAGGGTGGGCAGAGAGAGAGGGAGAGTGAGCATGGGTGTAAGAAGACATGGGGAGAGGAGGGAGGAGGGGAGCCAACGATCTACAGGCGAGCCCGATGTGACTGTGGCCTGCAGGGGGGTTGGGAGGTGGGGAGGCGGGGAGGTGGGGAAGGGGGGAGAGGAGAGGGAGAGTGAGAATGGTTGGAACGGGAGGAGCAGCGAGTGTAATGGCTGAGGGCGAGAGGGAAGGAGCGGGGGGGGGGGGGAGGGGAACCGGAGAGACCCCGAGAGGAAGTCTGCTGTACACGTGCTTATTACTACTACATTGTATCTCAATTTAAAAAGGAGAACGTAAGCCAAGTACCAATATAATCTTGTCATCAAGGACAAGATCTGACAAACGAACGAATTAGGGTCATCATCACCAGAAAAAAAATACCTGACAGAAATCAATTACCGCGCTTCACCCAACTCAAAAGTGAACTTTCAAAAGTGATTCCAGCAGAGGTTGGACCTTGCCGGTCAATGGTGCATGCAAGCAACTCGTTAAACAGAGGTTAGCACTTGCTGGTCAATGATCCAGTGGTACATGCAACTCGTTTACTTTAATAGTTGTTTCCTTTACCTTTTGTTTAATTCGTTCGCTTTTTCTATGATGGAAGAGAGTGGGGAGACTCTTGTCCCCATAGGCTGAGCCCCTCGCCTCACCTGCCCCCTCACGGCCACCCCCCTTGCTGCCACTCCCCTCACTGCCACTCCCCTCACTGACATTCCCCCTGCTGCCACTCCCCTTGCTGCCACTCCCCTCACTGCCATTCCCCTTGCTTGAAGCCCAACCAATGAATGTCACGCCTGCACACACCACCACAACAAACTGCTGCTCTGCCGCTGCTCCCTCTGCTGCTGCCACTCGTTTTTCTTGAAGTCCAACCCCTTTGAATGTCACGCCTACCCACACCTTCACACATACCTGACTGCTGCTCTGCCGCTGCTCCCTCTGCTCCCGCTGCTGCTGCTGGCGATGGCGGGAGGGAGCCGGAATAGAGGAGGGGGAGGACGACGACCCCCCTGTCCCCATGGGCTGAGCCCCCTGCCTCGCCTGACCCCTCACGGCCACCCCCCTTGCTGCCACTCCCCGGCTTGCTACTCCCCGACCTGCCGCTCCCCGCACTGATACCACTGATGCTGCAATTGCAGCGGCTGCCGCTGCTGCTGCCGCGCGCTGCTCTGCTGCTTGGATTTCTTTCTCCCTGTAGCACGCTAGCAGCAGCTCCTGACTGGGAAGGCGGAGGGGAAGGCGATACAAGAGAAACAGTGGCAAAGGCAAACAGGCGGGTTAATTGGGGCTGCAGCAACCTCCCTGCTCTGCTGCTTGGATTTCTTTCTCCCTGTAGCACGCCAGCAGCAGCTCCTGACTGGGAAGGCGGAGGGGAAGGCGGTACAAGAGAAACAGTGGCAAAGGCAAACAGGCGGGTTAATTGGGGCTGCAGCAACCTCCCTGCTCTGCTGCTTGGATTTCTTTCTCCCTGTAGCACGCCAGCAGCAGCTCCTGACTGGGAAGGCGGAGGGGAAGGCGGTACAAGAGAAACAGTGGCAAAGGCAAACAGGCGGGTTAATTGGGGCTGCAGCAACCTCCCTGCTCTGCTGCTTGGCTTTCTTTCTCCCTGTAGCACGCCAGCAGCAGCTCCTGACTGCACGCAAAGAATCAAGAAGAAAGACAATAAAGGGAGGAGGGAAACCATGCAATCAATAGGGGCCAGCTGGCGGTCACCAATGCACCCCTTCCTATTGATGTCCTCCACCAATTCACCAATGCACCAAGGCGTTGCTCTGCTGCTTACAACCCCTTCTCCCTGCTTCACTGTCTTGATCCTATTGCCCAAGTGTTTACTACAGGTTTGCAGCAAACCTGCTCCGCGATGAATCTTGATCCTGCTTACAACCCCTTCTCCCTGTACCAGGCCAGCAGCAGCTCCTGTGTTTTGAGACATCTCAAAACACTTTTATTATCACGTGGCTAGACGCATGAGAATCGGGAAAGACAATAGAGGAGAATGAGAATAGTCCGTGGGAGTTTCATACAAATACATCCCAGCGAACTGCCGTTCTCCCTATCAAGTATCCAATAGTCCGTGGGAGTTTGATACTTGACAGGGACACAAACAAACCTACAGCAGCTCCTCCTGACGGGATGAATGAATGAGACGAGATTCACGAGTGGCAATTGGAACTTGGAAGGACGTGACGGATCGACTCAAGAGGGATTCAGATACTGTTAGGAGCTATTCAGTTCAGCTTCCATGGCGCCATGCCAGCGTTTCATTTCAGGCATACCAAACTTCAACTAGCATTGCATACAGCAAGCAGGCTTTATCTTGGCGATGTAACCATCCATCCAGTTACCACATTTGCGAATGGACCACGTTTCATCTTGCAGTACCACGTTTCATCTTGCAGTACCACGTTTCATATTGGACTACCACGTTTCATCTTTCAGTACCACGTTTCATCTTGCACGTACCAGGTTTCATCTTGCAGTGCCAGCTTGCGCCAGCACATGGGGCACTCCTCTCGACGCTGGGCCCTGAAGAAAGGGGGAACACGGGGCGGAAACGGAGTGCAGGCATGGGGGTGAGGGAGGAAAATGAAGCGAGCAGACTTCTGAGTCAACTCAAAAGGCACATGGGGCACTCCTTTCGTCGTTGTGCCCTGGGGGATGGGGAGAAGGGGCGGAAATGGGGAGGAGGGACGGGCAATGGAGAGCACGGGGGAATGAGAACTGGGGGATTGGGTGCATGGGGGGATTGGGTGTGAGAACTTAGGCTTAGAAGCGATGCATTAGTAATGAGCTTGAAGCTCTTTAAGTACATCCAAGAAGGGTAAGGAATAGTTGGGGAAGGGAATCAGAGGCAATCCCTAGGGATTGGGGGTAATCCCAAGGCAATCTCCAATTGGTGGGTTGGAGATTGCTTGGAGATTACATTTGGGTTTGGTTGGGATGTAGGTCTACACCCAACCAAACACAATGTGCAAACTACACTACTTTAGGATATAGAAAATACAAAGTACAAAGTGTGAGATTGAAGGCTAACACGAACACCCCCCCATAGGCGTCAATCGAACTCAGGGCAGAGAGGGTGGAGCACAGAGCCCCATGGCGCCAAGGAGACGGTGGTGGGGAACTTTCCCAAGGGGCTTGGTGAACAGATCAGCCAGGTTGCAGTCAGATGCAACGTACTCCACTTTCAACTGCTCCTGCTGGACAAGGTCACGGATGAAGAAGTGCCGGAGTTCAATATGCTTGGTGCGGGTGTGATACACAGGGTCTTGAGAGATGTGGATGGTACTTTGGTTGTCACACCAAAGGGTGGGGGCGGACTGTGGGAAACCAAGCTCCTGGAGTAGGAAGGTGAGCCAACGGGCCTCCTGAGCAGCCATGGTGCCTGCGTAGAGCTCTGCCTCACATGAGGAGAGGGAGACGGCAGACGACCTGGTGGAGCGCCAACTGACAATTCCGCTCCCAAGGGTGAAGCAGTACCCCTGAGAGGAGCGTCGGTCGGTCTGGTCATCAGCCCAGGAGGAGTCGGTGTAACCTTCCAGGCGAGGAGGGGAGAGCCCACCGAGTGTAAGAACGTGAGACTTGGTGCCCTGAAGATAGCGCAACACCCGCTTCGCCGCCTTCCAGTGAAGATCAGTGAAGCGTCCAGGGGCCACGTAGCGAGAGAGGACACTGACAGGATAGGCCAAGTCCGGCCGGGTGCACATCATGGCGTACATGAGGGACCCAACAAGCTCCGGGTATGGCTCAGAGCAGGCCTCTGGTGTGGGTACAGCTGGAGCTGTGAGGACGTGTTGCAGCGGCAGCGGGGTGGCAACAGGTGTGCACAACTCCATCTCAAACCGCTTGAGCACATTGTCGATGTAGAACTCCTGGGAGAGTGAAATGGTGCGAGCCTGGCGATCACGAGTGATCTCCATCCCCAGGTAGTGCTTGAGGTCACCGAGGTTAGAAGAAGTCGCGGTACTGCTGCTGGGTGAAGCCCTTGGCTACGTAACGCGCTTTGAACACCGGGGCCTCGTCTGGGAGCTGTTTTACACGGAACAACCACTTGCCCCCGACGATGTTGACTCCTGGAGGTGGAGTCTCGTCGTCGAAGGAGTGGTTGCGGGTGAATGCTTCAATCTCCGCTTCCATGGCAGCACGCCATTCGGCAGCGTGAGGGCCTGAGTGAGCCTCTTGGACGGTGAGAGGGATAGGGATGGTCGGGTTTTCCGTGAAGTTGAGTGAGGGTGATTCAGTGATGTCAGGGAAGATGTGCGAGAGCTGGGGAATGACTGCGTGAAGATCATAAAGCTCCTCATGCCTATCTTCCAGAAGGGTAGAGGGCACACCCCCCCCGGCAGGAGGAGTCGAAGTGATCGTGGAGCAACGAATAGCCAGGGCCAGAGGAGGAGCAGGGCCGTGCGAGCGAGTGCCATGGGCTACCGGAGAGGAGGGCGGAGCAGGCAGTGTCTGAGGGATTGACTTAGGGGGCTTGGGTGGGGGAATTGGCTGCCGCTTGTACGTGATCAGTTCGGGCGGCTGTGGAGCGGGTGCCTGGGAGGAAGGGGGGACTGGGGGAGGAGGTGGGGCCGGAGGGTGCGACCGCCGATGGTATGTGATTGGTGCGCTCGGAGGTGGCGGCGCAGATGGCAGGGCGGCAGGTGAGGGGGAGGGAGGAGCAGCTGCCGAAGACACCGGTGAGGGCGGGTCAGAGACCTCAGAGGGGGACGGTGCGATGGCAGGAGGGGTAGGAGGTGAAGGGGCCGGAGCAGGCGGGAGGTCAGGAGGTGCATCAAAGTCTGCCCACACGAGGGAGGGTGGACCAGAGAGAGAGTCCCGTTCCGAGGTAGAGTAGAATGGACGGGTCTCATCAAAGACAACGTCGCGGCTCCGGACCAACTGTTGAGTGGAGGGGTTGAGGAAGAGGTAGTCAGGCGAGTCGGCGTTGTGCCCGAGGTAGATGCACGTCTGGGTCTTGGGACCGAGCTTGCCGCCGTGCTGCCGTCGAGCCTGGGGGTTGAGGAGGACATAGGCGGTGCACCCCCAAACGCGAAGAGAGCGAGCAGTGGGCGTTTTCCCGAGCCAGAGTGTGGTTGGAGTGGTGTCAGGAAGATGCGGGTGGGGGTAAAGGTTGTAGAGGAGGGCGGCGTGGTAGAGAGCGTATCCCCAGAGAGAGTGCGGAGCGTTGGAGTGGCCGAGGAGGCACCGAGTGATCTGCACCAGGGTGTGGTTGCGGCTCTCAGCTATGCCGTTCTGCTGCGGGCTGTCAGGGAGGGTGAAGTTTTGCTGGATGCCTTCTGAGGAGCAGAAAGCTTTGAGCTTGTCGTTGCAAAACTCACCACCACCATCCGAGTGAAGGCGCTTGACTTTGCGGTCAAAGGTGGTCTGTGCCTGTTTAACCCACGTCATGAGGACCTCTGGAACCGCAGCCTTAGTGTGGAGGAGGTGAACAGAGACGTAGCGAGAGTGGTCATCGATGATAACAAGGAAGTAGCGATAACCACCTCGTGCGGGAACAGGGGCAGGGCCCCAGACGTCTAGGTGTACCAAGTCCAGTGGTGCTGCTGCGACAGAGGGTGAGGCCGGGTGGGGCTGTTGACGCAGTTTGCTCTTGGTGCAGTCAAGGCACGTGGGAGCGGGGGAATCTGGTGGTGGAGGAAGTGAGGCTGGCAGGCCGAGTAGAAGTTTTTTGGAGGCCATGTCAGCAAGTGTGCGGAAGTTTGGGTGCCCGAGCCGATGGTGGTAGAGTATGGTCGGGTTGGAGAAACTGCGGCACGAGCATGGTGGGGTAGTTGCCTCTGCTTGGGTGGTTGACACTTGTGGGATGGGTACTTGCAGTGTGTAAAGGCCGCTGCTGTTGAGGGTGAAACGAGTCAAGACCTTGTTGGTGAGTGGGTCGAGGATATCACCATAGTTCTCGTTCTCCCAGAAGATGGTGCGTAGCCCAGCTTCCTGAATTTCCGTTTGGGCCACGAGATTGTGGCGGAGTGAAGGCACGCACATTCCAGTGACAGTGCCGGAAGGGAAGGCGGGGCACGGGACTGTGGATGAACCCTTGGCAAGAGTGGTGAAGCTTGAGTCAGCTCCTAGGAGGGGGATGGGTGTTGCGTAGGGTTTGAAGGAGAGTGTCTCCTTGAGCACAGTGTGAGTGGCGCCGCTGTCGAGTGTGAACTCTATGTATTGTGGTGCTTGTGATGAGTCGAGGTACTGGGAGGAAGCTTCATTAATCATGGCAGTGCCAGGGAACAACAGGTTGATACGCACATCAGCAGGAGCAATATCACTGGCACTAGCCGAAGCGGGGTCCTGGACCTCAGCCATGTTGGCCTTACGCGCACGCATCCAGTTCGGTGGCCTCTTGTCTATGCCGTGGATGGCGTACCATTCGTCGTCCTTCTTCTTGAAGCACGTAGCAAGGGGGTGGTTAGTGCCACCACACACTTGTCCCTTGCGGTTGCCATACTTGACGACGTAGGTGCACGGTGGGAAGCGGTTGCGCTGGAGGGGCGCCGAGGCCGCTGCGACACTTGCTTGAGGCATGGGAGCACGGATGGCGTAGGCCTTGGCTTGAGCCGTGGAGTCTTTCTCGGCAGAGAGGAGTGCGGTGGAGACCTTGGCAAAAGTGAGGTCTTCCGCAGTCAGCGTGAGGAGCATCTTCCTTGTGATTTCGTAGGCTGTGGTGAGGCCAACAAGAAGAGCTGCTGCAGGGGCCTGTTCGGGGAAGACTATACCCAGCTCCTTGAGTTCGCCATGAATGGTCTGAACTTTGGCAATGTAGTCGGCCATTCCCGAGCAATCCTCAAGGCGGACCTGGAACATGCTAGGGATGAGGATGGCAACTCCGACTGCAGTCTTGTTCATGAACCGATCCTGGAGATGCTTCCAGATGGCATTGGAGGTAGGGTAGTTATGGAACGTGTTGACAAGTTCTGGAGGGGTGGAGGCGATGAAGACGCTGATAATAGCAGCATCGGCCTTCTCCCACTTCCGGTACTTCTCAACGGCTTCCTCATATGCCCTTGTGTCAGCCTCACTAGCGGATTCGGTTGGCTCACGAGGGAGAAGGGGCTGTTTTCCCTTGCCATGGTTGAGGAGGACATCCTTGAGGTCCAATCCTTGCACGTCACGGCTCAGCAGGTGTTTGTCAACCCCATAGCTCCATGCCTTGAAGTTGGGGCTAGAACCATCGGCTTCAAGACGGAGTGGGGTGATGGGGTTGGCCATGGTGGACGCGGTGAAGGCCATGCTGGAGATCCCTTGGTGTCTCGCGCGAAGCGCCGCTCTTAAGTCACCGATAGGAACTTCGGTGCGCGGCGATTTTGAAATCCGACGGACCCCAAATAGCGAAAATCGTCAATGTCGACCGCGTCGGGATGCCTTGTAGAAGGATTTTCTAGGCCGCCAAAACTAGGTAAAATCGGCCGACTTCCGTAGATCTAACCCTAATCCCACACACCCCCCCACACACCACCCTCAGCTTCGCGGCTACTCTGCTGCTCGGCTGCGCTGCTGCACTGCTGCTCGGCTGCGCTGCTGCACCTGTTCAGCTGCGGGAAAAGGGGAATGGGGGTAGAAGTGCAGATGCGGGGCGACGGGCGGCGGCCCGACGTGAAGTTGCGGGGCGACGAGCGGCGGCCCGACGAGAAGCTGCGGGGCGACGGGCGGCGGCCCGACGAGAAGTTGCGGGGCGACGGGCGGCGGCCCGACGAGAAGCTGCGGGGCGACGGGCGGCGGCCCGATGGGAAGCTGCGGGGCGACGGGCGGCGGCCCGACGAGAAGAGGTGACGCGGTGACGAAATTGAGAGATGACGACAAAGGAACTAAAAGTTAGAGCGACGTCGATGAGCGTACCATAGAAATTGAAGACGTCGTCGAAGTTGACGGGAAAGTGGTGCGGGGGAATTTCCGCCCACGAATGTCGCGAATCGACGGCGACGAGATTGAAGGAGGCTATGCCGAGGTTTGCGGGAAGAACATCCGCATAGATTGGAGGATCACGATCCGCATGTGCGGATGTATTGCTCTGATACCATGTGAGAACTTAGGCTTAGAAGCGATGCATTAGTAATGAGCTTGAAGCTCTTTAAGTACATCCAAGAAGGGTAAGGAATAGTTGGGGAAGGGAATCAGAGGCAATCCCTAGGGATTGGGGGTAATCCCAAGGCAATCTCCAATTGGTGGGTTGGAGATTGCTTGGAGATTACATTTGGGTTTGGTTGGGATGTAGGTCTACACCCAACCAAACACAATGTGCAAACTACACTACTTTAGGATATAGAAAATACAAAGTACAAAGTGTGAGATTGAAGGCTAACACGAACATTGGGTGCATGGGGGGATTGGGTGCATGGGGGGATTGGGTGCATGGGGGGATTGGGTGCATGGGGGGATTGGGTGCATGGGGGGATTGAGTGCAAAGCGGGAAATGGAGAGGGGAGCACAGGGCAATGGAGAGCAAAGGAGAACGGAACAATAGGGAATGGGGAATAGGGAATGAGGGGCACGGGGGACCTGAAAGCGTGGGATTAGGGAATGGAGGAGAATACGGAGGACAGGGGAACGGGCAGCACGGGGGAATGGGGAGCACGGGGGAATGGGGAGCACGGGGGAATGGGGAGCACGGGGGAATGGGGAGCGCGGGGGAATGGGGAGCACGGGGGAATGGGGAGCACGGGGGAATGGGGAGCATGGGGGAATGGGAAACGCGGGGGAATGGGGAGCATGGGGTTATGGGAAATACGGGGGAATGGGGAGCACGGGGGAATGGGAACGGGAGCAGAGGGAAGTGGAGAGCAAAGAGGAACGGAACAAAGGGAATGAGGAGCACGGGTGATTGGAGATGGAAAGCACAGGGGAAGGGAAAGCATGGGGGAATGTGGCGGATGCGGGAATGAGGAGCAAAAGAGAGTGGGGAGAACGGAGGGAAAGGGAGCAGGGGGGGGTGGGGAGCAGGGGGAAATAAAGAGGATGGGGCGAAGAGGGAACGAGAGAAGGGAGCGAGAAGGAATGTGCAGAGAAGAGCAGGGCGATAGGAGGAGTAAGAGAAAGAGGAGGTAGCGGGGGGATGGGGAGTTAGGAGGAAGGGGAGGGAAGAGAGGAGAACCATGTAGATGCATGGTTAACGGCGACGATATGCTAGCTGAGAGAAAGACCGGCTAAGTCAGCGTGGTGCTTACCATTCAAGGACGCATTGGAAGTGGTACTCGTGGTTGCACACCGTGAGCTGGTGGCAGCACAGGTGGGAAAAGGGAGGGCCGGCACACGCAAGAGAAAGGGAGGAGGTGAGGGGCGATGCTCGAGAGGCGAGCAGAGGACGCACTGGAAGTGGTACTCGTGGTTGCACACTGTGCTGTGAGCTGGTGGCGTGGGGAAAGAGTGAGGCAACACACACACAGGGAAAGAGAAAGATGAGGCGCAATGAATGACCGAAGAGCAGAGGCACTGGAAGTGGTACTCGTGGTTGCAGACCGTGCCGTGAGCTGGTGGTAGCACACTCGAATGACAGAACGGAAGGGAAGGGAAACGAGGGTTACTTGCAACCGGCGAGCAGACGCATATCTGTTGGCATGTTCTGAATAACTCCCATAATCAAGGGAGTTCCGTGTCAGAGAAGGGATGTTCCCTTCCGCGACATGGTTGTTCCGAGACATAGCAGAACACACAGCGACACGGCCACAGAGACACGCCCACCCCCCCACCCACCGTCTCTCACATTCCACACCCACCACCGTCTGGCTTGGCGCATTCGCGCTCAGTCTTTGCCATGCACTCCGCAAAACGTGTACGAGAAGGTCCGAACCGAATTCAAATGAAATCCACCAACCGAGGAAACAGACGAATGACGTGAAGCCAGGGTGGCATCAGGAAGGGCGATTCCAGCCAGAGAGCAACTCCCGCATGTGGGAGATTGCATGACCCTGAGGAACTCACCTCTTGAAATGAATCGACTTCACTCATGCTGACCGCAATGGCGGGATGAGAAGAAGCCTCAATTCAAGTGCTCCGTTGGAGAGTGTGATGGCCGGATGAACTCATTTCACCTTACCTCACCCGACCTCACCTGACCTCACCCCACCTCTAACTCAGGGCGTGTTCACTCGTGGTGGCGGGGTCGGATTGAGTGAACGCGTCGAGGCAAATGCTGCACGAATCCTCCTCTGCGTCTCGGCGGCGCCCCATCTCATCCCCGCGTGGACAAGCTCAAATCCAATCCCAAGTAGGAGTGGGTGAAAGCGGGAGGAAATTCAACGCAAGGGAACTCAACTCACGGTGAAGAGTCGGATTGGATGCAGTGAACGCGACTATTGAGAGCTCTCAAAAGAATTCTCAAAAGTCACGGTGGAGAGTCGGATTGGATGCAGTGAACGCGCTCTCAAAAGAATTCTCAAAAGTCATGGTGGAGAGTCGGATTGGATGCAGTGAACGCGGCCAGGGGATGCTGCACGAGCGAGCCTCCTCTGCGTCTGGGCGGGGCTTCAACGGTCCAATTCACCCCCCCCCCCCCCCTTAATAAGCTCAAGTGATGTGGCAAAGAGTGTGGCAGCGGGAGGAACTCATCTCACCGCATTTGTTCACTCACGGTGGCAAGGTCAGATGCAGTGAAAGCGTCGAGGTCGAGGCAGATGCTGCAGGGGTTTTCTTTCGCGTCTTGGGCCCACTCCAACTGTCCATCTCATTCCCGCGTGGATTATCTCAAGTTCCGCGGCAGTGAGTGTGACGGCGAGCGAGAGAACCTTACTTCACCTCACCTCTAACTCAGGGCGTGTTCACTCACAGTGGCGGGGTCGGATTCGGAGAAGGCGTCGAGGCAGATGCTGCACGAATCCTCCTCCGCGTCTTGCACTCCCGCCGCCACCAGCGCTGCTGCCGACACCAGCCGAACGGCCGCCTCGCTCGCAGCGGACTCGCTAGGAGCAGACTCGTGACCAGCAGATTCGCTATTAGTCGATGACTCGCCGGGAGTACACTCGTTCGCATTAGGTTCGTTAAGAGCATCACTTCCAACATCGTTATTAGCGCCAATGGTTTCGCTTGCGCCGTCAGCGGCACCATTGCCGCTGGCGTCGGCGCGACTACTCGTGCTGCAGTTACCAGGATGTTCGCGAATGTCGCTGCTGTCGCTACCGCGGTTACTATCGCTGGAGATACCATCACTACCGGAGCTGTTACACTCGATCCCATCCGAGCTACTAGACGGAACACACCGCAAAACGCTATCCTCTCCCGCCTCTCCTTCGTCAACGTTCTTTCTGCCCGAACCTAACTCGCCATCCGTCGTCGTTACACATTCTCCCGTCGTAACGTCCGCGGTGGTAACCCCACACGTGGCCTCGCCGGCAACTGTCCCTTCTCTCCGGCCACTCCCGAGCGCGTCTCTCGACGAATCCGGGCCGTCCTTTAACGAATCTAGCTTTCCGTCGAGCGCTGTGACCGTAAGATCATCAACTGAATTCACGCCATTATCGACAGCTCTCCATGGCTCAGGAACCACTCTGCAGAACGGTATTGCCATTTTCGCAATAATCTCCAGCCGACTTAATAAATTTAAGTGTTTGTAGGTTCAGGAGAGAACGACAGAACGGCAGTGCACCATTATCACGATAACTTTCGCGTCGACTCTAACTAACACGTATAAAATATATTAGTGCTGTAATCATCCAAAACTATCCCAGCAGTCCAAGCCATTCTTGCTGCGACGACGATCGCTGAATTTATTTCTCGACGTTTCGAATCCGCTGTAAATGCTAGTCTCCGCTCTACAAGATGATATGAAGGCTTCAACGACAGACTATGAGCTAAGAAACGCGCGCCGCAAAGAAGAATCTAGTCAGAAGGGTCTACCAGCTGTTGTAGAACTTGGAGCAGGGAAAAGGGAGACTGGCAACATGAACTATGGCGGTCGCCGTTCCATACAGACCACACAAACCCATATGTATCTCCTTCAGCAAAGCGACGCTTTTTCACAAGTTCATCGTAACGATGCAATGACAACACGGTTAGAATCGGTTGAGATGGATAATGTTGGGTCTTGTTGGTTTTCGGCTAGTTTGGATGGCAAGGACTGGGTGGTTCAAAGAAAAGAAAGCTCGGTTGGGTGTGTAAGGACTAGGGCACTGAACTCTCTGACCAACAGCGGCCATGTGAGGGCGTACCCAAAGCTTATCTCACAACTTCGAACTGTAAATGCAATCCGTGCATGGCTGCCTGGAGAGATTTCTGATAATTCAGGCTGGAAGTCTAAAACGCTTTGGTAACCACGTCGATGTTTTTCGGCTGCAAATGGGTTCCGTTCCGACACCAGAAAACCCAGCCCTGGGAGTGGCGGCAACAACCGCAGAAGGAGTCGCAGCAGCCGCAAGAGCAGGCGTGGGTGCAGCCGCAGCCGCAAGGGCGGCTTTCTGTTGCTTGTGCGCGTGCTACTCTTTGCGGCGACGGGAGTCCCCCAAGAGAGCTGCTGGATGATGTCAGCGGACGGGTTTCTGTACCTAGGGGGGGGCTCTTCCGAGGCTGGGGGAAGGAAATGGCGCGGAAGGATTCATTGCCTTGACTGGTGGTGAACCCAGCGTGGCGCTAGCGCGCGCCACGTTGTACAGTATAGAAACCGAACCCGACAAGTTTCCGGTCTGGATGGAGTGCACAACGGTGTAGGACCGAGACACTGTAGAAATTCTTATACTGTAACCTCGCTTCGCCTCACGTCAACCCCTTACAGTTTTGAGTTGTCGCTCCGAACCGATAAGTGCCCCATTTCACAACTTGCTCACTTTCTTCGTGTTTTTTTCCTTCCCTGCCCACCAAAAACCACCACACGTTTGAGTTTCCTCCACCCCGTCCATTGGCTGTCTTTCGCCGAGGGCGCCCCACTGTTTTTCAAAAGTTTGGCCTCTCACCATTCTCGAGAGAATTGCTTGAGTGCCTTGTTTGGTGATTCGCTCTTGCCCACTTGTCCCCGAATTGCTCCCGTGGCCATCCAATTCACTGATAATTGCTCGAGTGGCCACGCCAGGGCATTTTCGAGGTGTTTTTTTCCCCGGCACATTACCCTACAAGGGTTTGTATCCCCGAAATTCCTCGTTCACACGAGTCTCATCCCGCGGTAGTGATTCGTACTATTCCCCACCCGAAATTTTCGGGTGGGTGGCGGGCGCGAACGTGGCCCACACACTGTACACAAAACAAAAAAAAATGCATGACCAACAGTAGATGCGCTGCCATTTTCGCCCCAATGCGCGACCAATGAGCGTGCGGGCAAACAAATTCGTAACCAATAAGCGCTCGAGCATATAAATCCGCGATCATAAACCTCAATTGACCAGCATCAAACCGCAACAGCCCTAATGACCGCGCATGATTCGTCAATAATATGCGCGATGCAATTGTTGGCATTACAGGTCCAAACAGGTGCCATCATTAAGGATTGCGACCATATTTGACCGCACAAATGAAACCCAATTTACTTTATGATCTCGCCAATAATATGCTAAAAACACTCGCACAAACATAAACTCTGGCCAATTAGGTTCAAATTAAAACGCTCAAACTGGTTTGGTACGCCTATATCATCTTCCCGCGCATTATGATTTGAAACATATGCCACATATCGCTCACACCATTTCCTCTCGTTGTTTTAGGGTTGACATCTACCTTAGCTTTCGATTAGACCACTTAGGTCCTTACAGGAGGTTCTTATAGGAGCTTTTCCAGCTTGAACATTCCTATTAGCCGCAATGGGTTTGATGTCTTACACCTCTAACACAGAGTCCGACTCAGGCGATGAAGATACAGAGTTTTGCTGCGTTGGAACTGGAGAGCCCAAACAAAGTGATATGTACCGTGCGTTGCTCCAGGAAATGGTCGTCGACGAGGACCGCTCGCCACAAATTGTGATAGACGATCGAGCCTCGTTGTGTGAATGTCAACTATACTTGTCTAAGCAATTTTTGTACGAAGCACTAGAAGACTATTCGGTAGCTTGCAACTTCGGATTTAGGGTTACGAGGAGTAGGCGAAACAGAGTCCAAGCCATATGCATGAGTCAACATGAGCGTCTTAAACCAGCGTGCGGGTGGCGGTATGAGTACTCCACTGACGGTGTGGGTGGGTTTTGGCGTGTTGACAAACTGTCCACCCCATCATCTCATCTCATTGCTGCTCACCCGTTGATCGGGACCGCTACGTGAAGCATACAACAAATAAAGTGTCATATCTGCAGCGTCATCATGG